GAGAGGGGCAAGAACTGGGCGGCGGCGATGGGCCCGCCTTCTCCGGGTCCGCCTTCCCACCTAAGGGGAGATGGGTCTCCCTGGCCACCCCCTTCCCTCTGCCCCGGGAGCGGGGCTGGGGGTGCCTTGTGGGCCTTGCTGTCGTAGTGTGTCAAGGAACGGGGCCAGAAGGGAAGTAAATGCTCCAACAGGGAATTTCCTGATGCCTGTCAGTGTGAGATCCAGTCCTTCACGTTGTAGGCATGCCCCCGCTTGAGCTTACGGAGTCTGTATCTTACTTTTTTTTTTTTTCCCCCCTTAAAAATACGCCTAACCTTCACCACTCAAAACTCTCTATATTTAGAATAATAAACCATAGGGGAAGAGAAAGAATCAGGTGGGGTTAGTCGGGAGGCTCAACAAGGGAGGGAGCCCTTGCTGACTGAAAATGAGGAACCTTTATCCATTACAACTCCTTTCACTAGGAAAATGAAGCTACGTTTGGTTGTGCTGAGTCACCAGATTAGTCCCGCGGTCCCTCTGATTGATGGGCTTTCTGTCTTGCTGCTGGACGCCTTGGTCTGAAATTTGCCTCCTTGTCTACAGCATTGCAAAGAGAAAAATACCATTCAGCTTCCACGGGGAAAGGAACTGCGGGAACAGATTACTGTATCTGAGCTGAGGCCTCTTTTTTTTTTTTTTTTTTTTTTCTTTTTTTTACAGCTTCTGGTATTGCTGCCAATTAATGCAGAGCTGAGATCTGAGCTTCCCTGTTCTTCCTTTCTTGCATCTGCTACTTAGAAACTGATCTTTCCTAAATCAATGAGATTCCTGAGTTCAGAAGGATTTGTGGTTGTTTTGTTCTGTATCGGTAGGTTGTGGGGCAAGGTTAGTTGTCGGTTGCTTTTTAATGACAGAAGTTAACAGGAAGGCCTCTAAAAAATAAATTATACAAAGCCAAACTCTGCTCTTGTTTACACCTTGGCAGCTCCGCTTGCTTCAACAGAAGGTTAAAAAACAAGGCAGAGGTTGGTCATAGGTCTTTAAACTTTCTTCTTTGCATGTGTTGATAAATGGGTTTGAAACATGCCTCTACATAGCTGTAAATTACTGATCCCTGAACCTTGGGAGAAACACACAAGGAAGAAGATAATTCCTACTGGAAAAACTCAGGTCCACCGCCCCGGGCCCAGGACTTCTCCCTTAGGGAAGACAAAAAGTGTAAAAAGAAAATGGGAAATTTATTCCATGTTGTTTCTCCTTAGATAGCTGCTGATGCACATGTGTGAGGAGAAGGGTCCGTGTCACTTCACAAATACAAAGGCAACCTCTCAGTTGTGAGAGGCTGATAGTTTCATTAAACAGAATATAGAGGAAGGTGGCCGAGGAGGAGAGACAGCACATGAGGAAGAAGGGCTGGTCAGTACATTGGCAGGTTTCTGCCGAGTTCCATGTTTTATGCTTCCACGTACTAAATGTGTGACTCTAGCTATTTTATGTTCAGTTTGTAGAGGGAACTAAAGTCTTTCAAGCCAAGCGGAAAGGTGGAGCATATTGAATTAAAACAGTTTGTTGGCCAAGAGTATATTTAGAGATAGCACAGGTTTCCAGAAGGTGCTACAGGGCATATTCATGACAAATAGGCTTAGCTGGCAGTCAGCCAGCCATTTTCTTTCCTCTTCTCTCCAGAGTTTTTCATAAACAAGAGCTCTGAAGCTGGAGGTAATCCGACATCATTCTGATTCTGAATTTCTTTTGAATTTATTTGTGGTGAGTTCAGGAAGATGATGTTCACTGGCAATAGATGAATTCCTTTATGGGGTTGTCTATGAATTTTCTTTGAACTAATATATATTTATTGAGAAACTTACCTGAACATTTTTGTCCCAGTAATTCTTCAAATACTTAGGTAGAAGGACTGGGAAGAAAAAGCTTTGCCCATGCTAGTTCTACTTCTCAATTCTACCAGGTAAATAGAGGAACCAGCACATAGAAGTTCAGTTAAATTACCTTAAAGTTGCTGATCTTCTTAAAATCCAGAAATACCAGATTTGATAACAGGCTGGGTTTAATTCATGTCTCAAGTTGGCTTATCCTTATCCTTACAATGAGGTACTCGGCCAATGAGCTCACAGGTTTCTTCACTTTGGCCTTTGCCTGCAGCCTGCCCGTCCACTGGCCTGCTGCTGCCTGGGACTCCCCGCTCCCCTCCCGCACGGCCTCTGCCCTGCAGCTGCCTGTACCCCAGGATTTTTTGGTATGCTCATTTGTTTCACTATCATCCCGATCGTCCTTTAGTCCCTCTCTCCCCTGAGCTTCAGGGAAACACCATAGGAGCCAGCTTTTCTGTTTAATGTTTCATCATGAATTCTTTGCTGTGTTGACTTAGAAGTTTTTCGATAGACTAATCCATGACTTTTCCGAGCAATATAGCCTTTCCCCCTTGGAAACCCATAAATGGCTTATTTTGCCATTATCATGCCAGGCTGGATCTAGCAAGGCAAAGGCCAACAGTCTTTGGCTTTTTTGAAATGTTCTGTCAGAAGCTCTGTAATCACCATTTCTATTCAATTCTGCTTCATCCCAGATCAGCAAGCTCTAAAATACAGTTTTTTGTTGACAGAATGTTAAAATGCAGTCCTCTGCACTTTCAGATGGATTTAAAGGCACACTTGACACCGAAATTAAAGGGAGCCAGAAAAACCTAAGCCCCTTATATTTCCATGATTTTCTATGTTGACAAGCATACTCTTTGTGTGTGTGTGTGTGTGTGTGTGTGTGTGTGTGTGTGTGTGTGTGTGTGTGTGTGTGTGTGTAAAATATTTTTCCAAACCAGTTACACAACACATGGTTCTGGCCTCAAGCAGCTTTTGTAGCTACCAAACATCAGTTGACTGCGTTTGTGCATCAGCCTCTGCTGCAGTGCCCAGTTAGTTGGTGTTGCCCGCTGGAACAGTCCAAGCAAGCTCTACCAGAACATCCTGGAGAGGCAGAAAGTGCCCTACACCTCTCGTTCCACCATGTGGTGGCTGCACTGAGCTTTCAACCTCCCATGAAATGGATATTTCAGGCTGGAAGGGACCAGCTGGTCCAACCTTCAGCTCAGTGCAGAGTCAGACCAGGGTGCTCAACATTTTCCCCAGTCAGGCTTCATCCCCCATGGGTGGAGATCCCACCGTGTCTCTGGGCACCTGCCTTAGTCCTGAACCACTCTCCATTTGAACGTTTTTTTCCTTCTCAGAACTTTTTAGTCAAAATTTTCCTTGCTGCTCCTTGTGATCGTTGCCTCTGATCTTTCAATGTGCACCTCTGTCTAGAGTTTGTCTCCATCTTCCCTCTAACCCCCCATTAGGTACCTGAAGACAGCAGCTGGGACTCCCCACCCTTTTAACCCTCTCCTCTCTAGGCTGAACAAGCCTTCAATGTCTCTTGGTACATCAAGCTGCTGAGAAATAAAACTTGAATTGTTGACAGACGCACGAGTCTTGCCTGTTCTACTGAAATAGGTGCATGCCAAGCTAGTTGCAAGGAAAGGATCGTGTGCCAGGCTACGTCTTGGCAAGCCAACACACGTTTATTTGCCATGGTTACTACTCAACTCTATAAGCACATTGGGGTTGGCAAAAAGCCTTTCCTGAGCCACGTTAAAAGGTGTAGCACACACAGAGCCTAAGAAATGGAGGTGTCGTTCCGTTGGGGAAAAAAAAAATGTTGTGATACTTAGACGAGTCCCCTGATTTTTGTACGCTTATCCAGCCCTGCCCCTCAGGAAATCTGGCACCATCTACCATTTTATCACAACTGCCTCAGGCTTATAGGAAGGCTTTAGTCTAGTTCTCATGGACATTCCTGTCTTTATTAAACAAAACTATGCCTAGGCTAGGATTACTTTCAGTTGTCAGCCTGAAAAGCCATTTTCTATACAAAACAGCAAACTGCCACTTTTTTTCCCCCACATTGTGTGACACAGCCACCCTTTAAATGTAAAACTGCAGGGTCAGCGAATTACTGAGTGGCAGGAGAGGCTGGACTTTCCTCCCTCAATAAGTAGATTTCGTGCCCACACAGACCCAGAGAGCAGAGATCCCCCCACAAATCTCTCCCCTCTTACAGGAGCAGGAGTCTGTACCTCATTGTGTTTCAGCATGAAGAGACTGTTGGTATCCATCTCACTGAGAGGAAAGACTCAGTATAATGTGCTAACTTGTGGATTTGCATTCATGAAGGGTGGCTTTTTTTTCTGTCTACCATAAGCAATTGTAAACTCTTCCATGGAGACTCTGGAAAATTTACTTGGAGTTTGCACTGAGCGGTTTAAAACAGGAGCCCAGCACTACCGTGCATTATACAAACCCTCTCCCACGTGCCTTGCAAGGCCCTTAAAATTGTTAGAGCTCCACAAACCTGCCACCCCCCTCCAGGAACCATCTCATTTCAGTATAAATGCTGCCCCAGAATGGGTGCTGGGGATGGAGAAGAGGGGTCCGTGTAACCACACTGTCACTGCTGCTTCATACGGCCAGGCCAAGGCTGAGGTAGGAGAAAGGGGTGGGGGAATCAATAAAGTCTTTTTCACTCATGGCAAGGCCACAGCTGTGTTGGTGTTGTCAGTGCAATGCAGCGTTCACATTTTCAAACTACGGCCCTTCTGGTCGAGGAGCCGTATATTAACCAAGTCAGAGGTTCTGCCAGGAAATAACAACGCTACCATGCATTTCAGCAGTGCTTTTCATCAGATCATTCCTACTTACTTTACAAACAGAATTAAGGAAGCCTCACAACATCCCTGTGAGGTAGGTGGAAATTCTTACACCCATTTTACAGGTGGAGAAAACAGGCACCGAGAGGTAAAGCGGTTATCACAGCAAGTCAGAAGCAGAGCTGGAAATAAATCTAAGGTTGTTATCCTAGGTCCACTGCTCTAGACGCTAGAGAACACCAACTCCCACATGCTATTGTAAGCTAAGACACTACCTTTCTCTTCTACTTTCACCTCCTTGGGTGATTTTGACACTTGTATCATAACGCTCCTTGCAGAGAGCCGTGTGATCAGTTCGTAATTTATTTGCACAGGGAGCTGAGGGGGGGTGGCTCTAATTGTCCACTGGCTTCCCCCTTCCCCGAGGGGGGGTACACACACCTTTAAATGGCGTGGCTCTAATTGTCCACTGGCTTCCCCCTTCCCAAGAAGACAATTTTCCCTGTTCTTTACATATAGATCTATGTTTTGCTTAATTATTTTTTGAGTAGAGTCATACACTGAATCCACAGCTCTGAGGCTGTTATGCAACTTCACTAGGAATTTCTTGAGTAAATGATTACATTTGTCTCATTGAGAGGGAATAAAACACATTTATATGCTATCACATCCAGAAATAGCAATAATCCTTTGCTCATCTGTAGGACCTTCCATCCAAGGACCTCCCTTTCTATTACTAACACAACATATCGAGCCTCACATCGTCTTTGTGAGGTAGAAAATTATTCCCAGTTGCACAAGGAGGAAGAATGACTTGCTGACAGTCCCACAGTGATTTCATTGCAGAGATGAGGCTGAATGCCAGAAGACCGGACTGTTAGTTCCCTGCCCAGTTGGCTGAGAAGCACTGTCTTGATGCCGTGGCTCGTACTTGGTGGCTACAGATTCACTAGCAGCCCGGCAGGTACTTGAAAACTGGCTTGGAAAAAGAAAAATAAATTGAAAAATCAACAAGCAGTTGACTGGATGGAGGAGGAAAACACCGGCTTGTTTCATTGTGCTGTCGTGATCCAGAAGAAGAAACAAGCTTTCCCGTGGCAGCTGTGGAAGAACTACAGAGCGTCCATTGAGTACGCGGCATGTAGTGCATTTCACTGAGGCACCCCGGTGAAAAAGAATGACATCGTCAACATCTGATGATTAAAGACTGGACCGCCCAGCAGCCATATTGTGAACTATATACCTCTGATGAATAAGCACTCAGCTTAATTAGTCCGGTGATCTAGTGAAGGTATGCAGTTCAGGGGCCAGGAACAGGGATGGTTATTAAAATACTTTGCATGTAAAAGGAGTTGTCAAGTAATTAGAAGTAAACAAGGCTGGGGTGATTCATCTAGTCTATTGGTATCTGAAAGGGTCAGATGCTCTGCGGAAGGTGAAAGATTCATCATATGGAACCGTTACAGATGGGTTTGGGGTTTTTTTACCCTCAGGAAAGTGTGTTTCCAACCCCCTTCAACAAGCAGGCTGGTTTATGCTTAGAACCATTAAAACTCTCTTATATCTTTCTGTGAAGAAAAAAAAAAAAAAGTAATAGATCCCATCTCTTATAAGTATGGTGATTTTGCAGTTCATCTAAATCTTTGCTCTTGCTTGAATTCTAGTAGAGTGTTGGGCACAGTGGACCCTTTTCCTGCTGGAAAACGTTCTCTTTCCTCAGCTGCCTTTTGTTTGTGTTAGCTGTTCTCCTGTTTCTGCATTAAGAGAGTGGATAAATGGTAGCCTCCAGATTCTCCCTCTGCATGTTCCTTTGCATATGTTGCTTTGTCATATTCCTTCCTAAAACTGAGGAGGTACCTTCCAGTCATCCTTCACAAGGAAGGACAACCTAACAGCCTTTGTCCAGGGAGCAAAGATTTTGACCTCAGGCTGCAAACCTTGGGGAAATACACAGGCCCAAGAGGAGCAAAAGAATTAATAGTTTAAAAAAAAAAAAAAAAAAAAAAAAAAAAAAAACAAAAAAAAAACAACAACAAAAAAAAAAATATGTGGCACTGCTATGGTGCTGAAGAATCCCAGTGCACCCTACAAACTTTCTACATATGTACAGCTTCCTTCACTCGGCAGTGAAGTCCAGCCACCTCTGCGTTTGTATAGGGCAGCTGCGTAGCGAGGCACAGGAACGCCACCAAAGAGGTTGGGCCAGCAAGTGACAGAACAGGCTGCCCTGGTGGCTGCCTGGGCTGGGACGTGGGGCAGCAGGACTGGAGGTGTGAGCCCAAGCCTACCCAGAGCTCTCTCGGGCACCCGTTTGACTTCAATGGGCTTTGAGTCAGCCCTGCTACAATGGGAGACCAGAGGGGGGTCTTTTCTAGCTAATGGTGGGATGAGTTTTAGGGGTTATGCCAAAGACCTTTTTCTTTTTTTCCCTGACCTGGATTAGAGCCTGCCCCGGGAACAATGGGATGGGCTGCAGCCCAGCAGAAAGAATTTGCTGAGCTGGCAGGGTCTGAGGTTTGCAGAGCAGAGCAGATGAGAGTGCCTACCTGCATTTTTCTGGCATGAGGCTCAGTTTTGGGGGGGGACATAGCTGTTAACCTGAAGCTTTTGAATACATTGCTGCACTGTCCCAGCCAAAAGGTGCTGCTGTAGTCCTAAAATTAGAAATCCACAGACATTTAAACATTTGCAAGCACATGTTTTCCTGCCTTTTGTAGTAAAAGAGATTTTGCTGAGGTTCTGAGAGTTCTGTACAGACCTGTTGGCACAAAAGGTCTAAATCATCTTTTGAAAGGCCTTGTTTTACTCGAGACTTTGGCATTTAATAGAGAAGTAGACCACTCATCTGTCAAATTAAAGACAAAGGGTGTCAAAAGTCTAATTTCATATCAGACTTTTCAAACTTGAACAACCAGTTTTGTATTTCGAGGTTTAAATAGTCATATAGTTATCCAGACCCCTGGTTTAGGTTCACAGGTGCCTTCACGACTCTGTACCTGAGATTTGCTGAGTGCCTGTAGGTCTGGGAGCTCCAGGAACTGAGCACACGTCAGGATTGTGCCATGAAGGCTTGCATTTGGCTTCATGCTCTGGGGGCTGTAGCTGTTTCCTCCTTTCACAGAAGCCTTCCCACGCTTGCTTTGCTAAATCGGGTTTCAGATCTTTAAGTCACAAGACTACGAGTAAAAAATATCACTTGAATTTATTCTTTACAGTGCTCCGAAATAGGCTCGGGGCTGGATGACCCTCTTGGGAACAAATAATCCATCTGTGGACACCTGCTAAATCCTAGGAGAGAGCTACTGTTAATCTTGCCCACTGTCAATGTCACTTGAAGAGCAGAAATATTTTTGACAAAGGGAAAATACTTTTTCCTAACTCAGATTTGCATTCACAGAGAAACTGGGGACGTTTTGGCCTTTAATTTCTGAATAGAGAGGGGAAATAGTGCTTACTATTTTAGTGTGGTGATGCTAGGCACAGAATTCACTTTGTGAATTAAATAACTGCAATTCCCTGCCAACAGTGAAGGGGAGATCTGCTCAGCATGCCATCGGTGGAAAGAGAAATACCAGATACAGTTGTTGATCAGTCTCCCCGCTTGCTGGCTGAAGGGACAGATCCTCCCCACATTCCTAGAGAAATGTGGAACACAAAGTTTCCAGTAAATACGTTCACAGTGGTGACATTTGGGTTTCGCTGCCACATTAGGTTTTAAAAGACATCAGTTATGTGTACAGTGTAGATATTACTGTAAGGATTGAGCTGGCATGAGGGAACAGGGAAAATGTTCCTTTTCAAATGAACATAAAGGGCAAATAAGGCACAGTTACCATGATAGTAACTTTCCAGTTGAGAATCTCAAGAGGAAATAATATTCAAATGGCCATTTTAGCACTTTGCTTAAAAATATCTTGTGATTCTTTCTCTATCTCTCCTTTTCTCTTCAACCTTTTCTTTTGCATGTGCTCCCCATATTCTGCACCTTCATACAGTCAAATCATCTGACCTGGCCCGGCTGCTGGCTTTACTTAGCCTGCTGAGGGGTCTCATATCAGTGGCGAGGTCAGCCGG